ATATATATATATATATATATATATATATATATATATATATATCATAGAAATAATTTATTCATGATAATATTTTAAATAGTAATTTCCTTAATTTCCTTTACAGTATTTTCCATTTATACTTCTTCTTTGTTCATAATTAAGCGGTAAAATTTAAACGAGCAACTGTTTGTTTGTTTTTTTAATATAATAAAAAATGAAAATTTTCTTTCCTAACTTTTTTTCTCAAAAATATTCCTTTAGTCTTTTTTGACAGAAAAAAAGATTTTCACAAAAATATTTAATTAATTAAAGTCTAACATTCCACATTTTTTTTTTTTTTTTTTTTACAGATGTGAAACAACAGCCGATGGTAGAATACGTTTTGCATCCCTTCCACATCATAGTACTATTAATAATTCTAATGAATAAAGTTATTGAAATATGGAAGTAAAAAAAAAAAATCATTTCAAATCATATTTGTACACAATTTTGTATATATATATTTACATCATTTAGTCCTTTTCTTCGTTTTTGATGCCAATAATAAAATTTTTTTATAGAATTTTTTTTTAAATTACGTTTAAAATATTCATTAAAATGAAAGTAAAATGACTAGATAATATTGCAGTGAAATGATATTTTTAATATTTTTAAATGAATTAGAGTAATAACATCTAATAACATAATAACATCTGACTTATTAAGATATACAGAAAGTAAAATTTTTATTTTTTATTGTTTGAATCAGCAGATAAAATTAAATCAAAAAATTGTGTAATTTCAGCCATTTATTGAGTTTCATTTCAAAAAGAAAATAAACGGAAAAATATGCATCTTGTAGAAAGATTTCCTGAAAAATTACTGAAAAGGATTGTGATAGGATTCGGAATACAAAAAATTAAAAGAAAAAAAAAACATCATGATATGATATCACTATGTGTTGATAGCATTTTGTAAGCCATTTTTTTTCAATACTTTTATTAATGTTTATCAACATTTTAATTTTTGCATTTTATTTTTTTCCATTTAAATGGATGATATTAAGGATAATATTTCAATAAAATGTTTTTTTCAACTTTTTTTGAACTAGAATATTTTGAATTCAAATTTAAATTTGAAGCAACAACAATGTTGCCTGAGTACTATTATCAATGATAAGTTTCTAATACTGCTTGAGTAATACATTATCAGTGGCATGTTTCTAGCACTGCTTGGGTAATGTCATATCAGTAATAATTTCCTAATGCTAGTTAAGTATTGTATTATTTATAATAAGTTTCTAATAGTGCTTAAAGTAATGTATCACCAATAAACTTTCTTGTAGGAGTATTATTGGATAAAATGAAAAATCAAACTTCTATTTGTGGTTTACTTTTGAAAGTTGCTCGAAAAGACAAAAAAAAACAGAGGGAGATTAAAACTGTTATCCACACTATCTACTGCAAGTTACATTTCATATATCTTGAATATGATTAAATCACAGTGCGCTTTAACACTTATTCTACATGGCTTAGGTGGAAATCTTATACAAATTAAAATCTGTTAAATTGCAAGAAAAAAAACCAGTTCGAAAAACAATTTATTTTAAAAATTCTCTCAACAGACAGATCGAATCGATTTGGATATGAAAATAAAATCGACTTAAATGCTTTATGACACAAACAAGAAGATAAACCAGTAAAACAAGCAACAGATCACTTTCCCTTTCAATGAATCAACTTATCACATCTTCTCGACTAGGATAGGAACAAAATCTTGGAAAAAGAACAAGACTTATTAGACAGTTAAATAACAATCGATCATTTATATCATCATTTGGCGTGAAGTATAATTTGCCTCTCTGAACAAGTTTTGATTAAATTTTTTCTATCGAATAAAAGCTCAATTTTTGATAATCATCGCCTGAGAACCAGTACAAATAAATGTATAATCAGCAAAAGTTTTTTCAAGAAACTAATTGCTGCTAAGATTCGAATCTCACTGAAAAAGCATATCCAAATCACTGAGAATGTATTGCGAATCAGATTTCTGTGGAATATATTCCGAATCTACCTGTTCTGACCCTGACATTACATATGTGGAACTAATAGTGCTTGGACCATTATCCTCTTTCGGTTGTTTCTCTTCCGTAGTACCTGAAAAAATCAACCAACTTTTCATTGAGTCCCAAACTTTGGGACTACGATTTATTACAGATCTCAAGTGACTAAATTTGACTTATGAAAAATGACTAACAAATATAGTAGATTTTTATAAAACCGATGATCTATTTCATCATCTCGGCTCACAGAACTTACGTTTTTCGTGACTGCGATTAATTATGACTGAAAAAGTTGCTGAAATTATGGATGATAACTTATGGAGCATTGCCTTCATTATAACAATCCATTAATTGCAATCCGGAATCGGTGTCCAATCCATCAGTCAGATCATATGGACAACCTTCGTGATTGGTTATTGTCGATTCCATAGTAACACTTTGTGGAACAGTCGGGCTAGTTTTCGGTTGCTCAGTCAAGAACTCAGTTATTTCAGATTGCCATGAATTTTCTCCACCATTGTAATCAACAATAGACTGCAAGAATTCTTTATCTTATTTATCCAAATATAGTTACCGTTTGGTGAATAATAATAAAACTGTTTAACTATTTTAAAGATGATAAACCTAATTTCAGTGAAGTACATATTTCCCTGCCACAAAATAGTATTTGGATAAGAAAGTAGTTGAAATAAATAAGTGAAATTATGGAATTTATATGTGTAATTCGAAACTTTCAAAATTTATGTGCTACAACGAAATAAGTCAAATTCTACTGAAATGCTGCGATTCACCAGCTTATAGACACTGAACTTTTTTCAACATTAACTTAATAATTACTTCTTTCCGTCCTCATACCCCATGTAAGAAGATTGTTGTTTCCTCAAAAAAAACAAAAGAAAAAAGAAAAAAAAGTATAGGAATCAAACCTGTGGTTGCTCAGTGGTAAATGACATGAAAGTGGTGACTGAGGAGGAGGAGTTTGCTGTTTCATTGTAACGTACTGGTGCTACATCATTATTCGTATTCCCGAACTGCGCCACATATGATGCTACCGACGGTAAACATTTTGGCGCAACGAAATTATACGCATCAGAATGACTAGAGTATAAGGATACTGTCGAGGGATTTACAGCATATGTCGGTAATGGACCCTTTGAAGATCCAGCACTACAACTAGAACTGTTACCGCTCATTAACATTACTCGTCGTATTATGGGCTTGAAAAATTGTCGATCCGCATCAAGCAAATGATAAATCCATACAGATGATTCGTCGCTGCAACAAAGTTATAATGAGAACAACTATTATTTGGATTCATCGTGATAAAAGTAACGAATAACTTTACATTACTTTGTTGAATAAAAGTACTAACAATCGTCGAAGATATGCAACTTTGAGTTGTAAAAATGAATTAAGAAAACTACTGGTGTGTCTAGAAAAGTGCAGTTTCAAGAATAAAAATTTCAAAAATAAAGTTAAAAAACTGAAAGACCTATTCAAGCGAACTACATGAACAAGAGCTGTTTTGTACTGTCCCAGTGTGATGTCGAAATCGTTACATGGTACCACAATACGTTTATTATCCGAAAAACTTTCTCGATTGCAGTATTCTTGTTCTGCCGGTTGCGATAACTAAATCACACGATGTCAATTTCAAACAATTAAAAAAAACAGTTAAATTAGAAAACAGAAACAATGACTTTCCAAATCAAAAAAATTAACCGAAGTATTTATATTTATTAACCGAAGTATTTATATTTATTATCAGTATTTTATTATCAATACTTGAGTATTTTTCATTATTCATTATTCATATTTCTAATATTTGTACTCATTATTAACCCTTTTAATCTTATAAATTTTCAAATGATTTTCAGATAGAACAAACCTTGAAATTTACATAATATCCTTGGAAATTAATCGCTTCCAGATGATTGAACGCTACCCTGTAACCAGCTCTGTACGAGAGAACACCTGAACTATACGAGAAGTCATAACGTAAATGACGGGAAAAGAAGCAAAACGTTACGCTGCAACTTGATTCGCCCATATTACCACCATTTGCCTGAAAATCAAATGAATCAATTACCATTTTGCATAAATGGATTTGTAGGGAACTAAGAAAATCAAACGGATAGAGTCACCGATAGCAAAATTAAAGCAAAATTTAGTGATGTATTAAAAGATATATTTAAACTATCTCCACTCCGCAAATGAATTTTCATCCCTTGACCTAAAGCAACAACTTCGCTAACAAATAAGACGACTGTATTAGGATTCCGAAATTCTTGAAATCGTGAAACTTTGAATGTCTCCTGGATTTATAAAGATATGCCTCCATGTCATAAAAATTGTAAAAGTCAGATATTTTAGGATATAAAAAAAAGCCTCACACCCATATTTCAAGTAACTTCAACTACCAAATAGGATTGGACAAAGCAGGCAAAAACAAGTCCAAATACTAACAGGGAAAAATTTCCTATCTATCAATAAGTTGGAGAAGCGAAATGAAGCATACAATGAATAAACCCATCGATATTGCCGCAACAGGAAATGTTTTCATGTGAACTACATTTTGAACAACAACTGTCTGTTCTGGTTCTGAAATAAAATTTAACCAATTATTTGTTTGCCTCTTTAGTAAACAAGCTTAAAAGTATTAATTTTAGCTTTTTTTTTTCTTTTTAAATCTAATTTATATTTCATGCAACAGTTGATGTACTACAATTAAATGAATTTATAAAACAATATCTTTATATATGTCTAATTTTTATCAAATGGAGAAGAAATGGATATGCTACTGCATTGCTTTCACTTTTACTAACATTATTCAGTAAAAAAATAATACCAATAAGTAGTCAAGATTTGCTGTTGCCAGAATTCATGAAATTTTGAAATTTATGTGATATGCCCTCCTTTTCATAAAAATTTCCAAACAAAACAATAATACAAAGAAACTAACTATGACGTGGTCTTTTCACGCCTCTTTGCTGCCTTGTTTTGTTAGCAACCAATCGTCGAACTGTTCCTCGATCAACAGCTTTTGTATCAACACTTTCATTACCTTCCTTTGAATCTGTTTCCTTTTCTACCTGAATTTTAGATCGAAATTATCGTTAACAATGATGGCGTTGCAATATTTCAGCTTTAAATTTCAGTTATATTGCTGTATCCAGTGTTTTCCCTTACCTAAATTTTATTCAAATTATCTTGAAGAAATGAATTACAACAACATTCCAATTTCAAATTTTAGTTATATTGTTGTCTGTAAAGCAATACAACTGAAATGCATACAAAATGAAATTTCGAATTATGATGAAATTTCAACATCAACATTGGTAATTAGCAGTTTGCTACGTCCATCTCTTAAAAAAAATGCAGTGAATGTTTAAAAAAAAAAATGAAAGAAGGAAAAAAAACTTATCTTATTCAGTAAATTACGAAGTTGTCGAACTGTAACACAAGAAAATAAAATATTTGAATACTTCTTATCTTCTTTCTTTTCTCTTTCAACTTTCTTCTTACGACGTTTCTCATTAGCACGTCGAATTTCAAAATTTCCCTTTGATATAATATGTTGTGCTTCTTCCATTATTGTTATTACTATTATTATTATTATACACTCCTGAAAAAAAAAAAAAATTACAACTTATTTTTCTAAATCGATAATTTAAAAATCACTGCTGTAAATAGTTGTAATTAGATTTATATGTTAGCTTAGCAATTACTATTTGTTGTTAACGTATTTGAAAATGTTTTACTTATTTGAATAGCAAAATTTAGCGGATGGAATTTCGACTATAAGTTTAGTCATTTGTTTGTGTAGGTTTTGCACATTTTTCTTGTTCGATATGTAGATAAGATAAGTATAAAACTAAGTAAAATAGAAGTACGTCAAAAAAAAAAAAAGAAAATGATATTACTGGAATACGTCAAATATCAATACGACCGTTACTTATGGAAAGGAACTTGTAGATGATTATGCTGCTAACTTACATTCGATGTACTAAGAAAAGGTCATCCTGTATGCTTACAACTCGAATAGCTTATTTTTACTATTTACATTTAATGTCAGGTATCTTAATTAAACAAGAATTAATGAGTGACATTTTCACGTACCTGATGTATGACACACGTACGTAAAAACTCTTATGAAAGCTGTATGAAACCATTATTTTTCGTAAATTCAACAAAAAAAAGGAAAGGAAATGCTAAAATTTAAAACAAAGAAGCGCGATGGAATGAAACTCCAAAAATGCACGTAAACATCGTTTTCTTTTTTTTTGGAATGGCTCTCTTCAATCACTTGGCCTAAAAAAAGAAAAAAAAGGGTAATTAAAGGTATTGCTTGCAAATTACTTATAATAATAGTTTTTAGTCACGTAGATCACGTAGAAAGAGGAAATCCACAAAAACGACCCGATTGACGTGCAAATGTGCAGAACAATGATTGCTTTAGCTTGACATTCGGAAATATTTCTTTGGGAGAATGGAAGAGAAGTGGAAGAGATATGCAAATTTTGTACGTTACACGTCAATTATACCGCGTGTGAAATTTCATCGGTTATTATAGATAAAAAAAAAAAAGCAAATTAATCGATAGTTACATGATTATGTTTAAACAAGATTAGACTAGACCAGATATAATGAACCTAAACAGTATGACAGAGAAACTTAGCAAATGAGTATATAACATTGAGCATATATAGTCAAGTACCGCAGACTAAAACGTATGACATGAAAAGGAAAAAAACTTACGTCAAAGTCGTATTGATTAAAGCATATGAGTATCTTTTAAAGATTTAGACCACGTAATGGAGAATTGGACGTGTGCAACATTGACGGAGACTGACGTAACGTAGACTTTGTTATGGATCATTCATTACGCAACTATGATTTTGACGTAACGCAGATTTTTTATGGATCATTCACTACGCAACTATGGTTTTGACGTAACGTAGACTTTGTTATGGATCATTCATTATGCAACTATGATTTTGACGTAACGTAGACTTTGTTATGGATCATTCATTACGCAACTATGACTTTAACGTAATGACTGCGAATGATTTTGGCCAAAATCTGTGAAAATCATCAACGCTATGTTGTCTTTATAACTTTTTCGCATAAATTACTAAAAACGTTTGTTGCAAAATTATGTGACTGTTAAATCAGAGTTAAATTTCAAATTATTTAGTTCTAGCTTATTTTCTTTAAGGAATTCAAAGTGTTCGAGTTCAGCATCTTTCTACCGAATTATCCTTCGTCATGTAATCGAACCCTAATTAAGTAAGTAATTAACTAAGTAAATATCATATTTAAATTAAATCACGTATAATGTTGTAGAAAAGATATCAATTAATCTATTTTGTAATGTCAAAAATTTTTGGAATTCATATTAAAGAAATTATTTTCGTATTTATCACTAAAAATAAATATGATATTGGTATTTCTCTCCTTAATAATGTTAGATTAATGATATGAGAATATAAAATTATCAAAACCATTAAGAAATTAATAATATTAGAATATAAAATGTTATTTCATTAGTCTTTCTCTCTCTGTCCCACTTCAAAAATTTTATCTAAATTTTCTTTTCTTTTTCATGAAAACTTCATAGTTACTACAGTAATTTAAATAAAAAGTTTCTTTTTACATGAAATTATCATCCAATTGATTGCAAATTTCATGCAGTTTGCAACTTAGCATTATAAGATGTACGAAGAAGCCAATGAGTAAAAAGTGAAAAATGGGTTTTTTCTTTTTCATATTAAATATATAAATGAAATATTTTTGTAAAATAATCGGCAATTGTTGCTGTCACACCTTCTCTCCTCTCTTTTTTTTTAAGCTGTTAGTTCATCAGTTTATCTCTTTACACTTGAAAGAACGATAAGTTTTATTTCCCAAAAAAAAATTATATCACAAATCCTAGACCCGTCGTCGAAGTTTTAAATGCGTCCTTCGTGCAAAATATGAAGTTCATCAAGTAGAAGTAAACCAATTCACAATTATAGTCGACTTTATCATCTTTACAATTCATATCCCTCAACTTGCAGAACGAAATGTAACGAATTCGTTAACAGGCTGCAATCGCATGCATAGCTTGAAATTTGCAACCACGGACAGCATTGGTTTCATCATGTTAATTGTGCTTTGGAGATTGTGTCTGCAATCAGTACTTCGAGAATTCTACGAAAGTAAAGTTTTATTGAAGAAAAATTTGACCAAAATAACACAACAAAAATTAAAACACATGTAATGTAAAAAGTAAAAGAAAAACCCCGCAACACACACAAAAATGGGTACAAAAAAAATACAACACAAATTTGATTAAAGACAGGAGACAGGTCAGGAAGCGGTTTGAACTTCGTTTGAATTATTGGTATTTGGAGGAATTTCCTTTTTAATTTTGCCTTCAAGAGCTCTAGACCAAGCATCCATAATCGGATCTCCTGTTTGCGGGGGAATTGACGGACGTTGGTCGCAATCCCTCACTGCAAAATTTGGAGTTCCCGACGCACCTCGTCCATCATTATTCCTGAAAATTAAAAAATTGTATAAAACAAGGAATTACATTATTATGAAATCACTCTCGACTGGACGATTTAATAAATGAACTTTAAAGGTAAACGAAATCATCGGAATTATGAAAGAATAAATCACTATATATCATTGCAAGAACAACATACAAAATGGCATAGTTTCGTAAAAAAGATCAAAAATTAAAAGAAAAGTGAGCAGGGCACTGACGAAAAGTCAAAACCTAACCTACTATTCGTACAAATCCTCATAGAACAATAATTTTTTCAATGAGTGAAAATATAATTTGTTATCATTTTCAAGGCAGCTAACATACGATAACCGTGAATTACAAGTAGGACCGACAACTGAAATAACTTACCTTTCACAGAAGTCGCGCTTTTGATGATAGCCGCCTCGAAATGGTCTACCGCACTTCCACGGCCTTCCTGATCCTCGACCGCCTCTGCTATCCGGTGAATGATACGATCTTTTGAACCCTCCCCGTCCACCACCTCGAGATAGAAATCGTCCATTATCAAAGCGACCTCTTCCGCGGAACTAAGAAAATGGCCATTTAAAAACAGGTGTATTTCAGTATAACAAAAAAAAAAAANAAAAAAAA